ACCGCAACAACTTGTGGAAGAGGCACAGAGAGAATCGGGGCAGACAAAAAAACAGGTTGCTGATCCCCGGACAAGTGACGATGTCGCGGATGTCGTCGGTGATACACAACAAGAGTAGTAGTGGTGTTGCAAACAGAAGCTGAACTTATACCTAGCAACGCAAGTGGAGCAATGGGAACAATGGAAACTGGAGAGTCTGTTCGCAAGCGAGACCGTGGAGGATATGGGGGTGGTGAGGAGGAACGCAGTCGACTACGGCCAAGCACAGACAAAGATAATAGGGGGGTGCATTGGGCAAGATTTCCGAGCAAAGGACGTGAGCGTCGGAGAGATTGTGATGTTCTTTGCATTGGAGCTGCAGGACAGGAAGCTGTGGCAGTAAAAACTAAAGTTGGGGGAATTATAGTTAGGGAAATTGTTATACTGAAAACTGCAGCAGTGGAAACCGCAGCAGTAGAAACTGCAGCAGTGAAAACTGGAGCAATGGAAACTGCAGCAGTGGACACTGCACCAGTGGAAACCGCAACAGTAGACAATGCAGCAGTGGAAACCACAACAGTGGAGACTGCGGCAGTGAAAACTGCAGGAGTAGAGATTCCAGAAGTGGAAACTGCAGTAGTGGAGACTGCAGCAGTGGAAACTGTGGTAGCAGCAGATGAGTAAGCAAGGGCAAGATGAGAGCATCGTTGGGGCAAAGAAGAAATTGGATGATACAAGGACCATCGCAACATGCCACGGAACCACCGAGAGAGACGCGTTACATGTGTAGGATAGCGACCACCGTTGCGCTCCCAGGTCCACCCCTTAGCAAGGATTGGTGGGGAATGCCCACGCGAAAGCATATGACGAGTAAGTGTTGTTGCCGCTGTTCGAAAGTCCTACCAATTGTTACAGATTTGTTCAAATCTGGTCAATTGCCCAGTGAACACACCAGCCAGTTGATGGGAAGGGATGTTGGAGGTCGCACTTGGATAACGAGTGACAGGGAAGTCCCAAGCAGCCACTTTATAAAAGACGCTCATGCGAAGCGAGCCATCGGAACGGACCCGTAGTTGCATACCTATAAAAGGTACAGGAGCCATCTGTAGCTACGATCCCGGACCACCGGACAGGGATCCGGACCGTCCGTGGTCCGGGTCCGGATCTCGGTCCGGATGTGTGGGCCCCAGCCCAACGGGCAAATTTTTTTTGGGTGGCCCAAGGCGTTTGTTCACGCTCTGGGCCACCCCAAAAAAAGGGTGCCTGATTTTTTATCCCCCTCGCCAACAATCCGAAAAGGCCCGGAAAGCCTACCAGGGGGTTTGGTAACTTTGGTTTTGTTTCCTACCTGCGGTGCAAGTGTGCGGTGCACCTGGAGCAATGCAGTGCCACCGATGCGCAAAAAAAAAAAAAAAAAAAGGTCACTGATACGTGTGAGAACACGAGAGAGAGAGAGAGAGAGAGAGAGAGAGAGAGAGAAAACAAATAGCTCCTTATAATTTATTAGAAAACCCCTGCGGGTTACCCGTGAGGCCCCTGCATATAATTAGCAAGGGCGTTCTCACCATGAACTAAGTCGTACTCATAGCCATGCTAGGGTCATGGCATGACAAGGATATATGCTGTGGATTCACATTAAGGTCCGTGTTTCAGTAGTTATGGGACCACTGAGCACGCGAGTTTCTGGGAAGTAGCAGGCCAACTCACCATGTGCTTTTCAGGGCTTCCCTCCACTACTCACCAAATGTGTAAAACTAGAATGAATCTTCTGCTAGAACATCTGTCTCTTATACACATCTAGATGTGTATAAGAGACAGGTTTTAGGGCTCGTAGGAAAAGGAAACAAAAGAAAGAGAGGAATGAATCTTCTGCTAGAACATGGAACCATACGCCGCCATATGTTTTGTCTTTTGTGCAAGTAGTGACAAGTGGAGCAAGGCCTTAGGGCCACTGCTCGTAGGAAAAGGAAACAAAAGAAAGAGAGGAATGAATCTTCTGCTAGAACATGGAACCATACGCCGCCATATGTTTTGTCTTTTGTGCAAGTAGTGACAAGTGGAGCAAGGCCCTTAGGGCCACTGCTCGTAGGAAAAGGAAACAAAAGAAAGAGAGGAATGAATCTTCTGCTAGAACATGGAACCATACGCCGCCATATGTTTTGTCTTTTGTGCAAGTAGTGACAAGTGGAGCAAGGCCCTTAGGGCTGCTGCTCGTAGGAAAACGAAACAAAAGAAAAGAGAGAGCTACGGTAGCAAGTAGTTGTAACTTGTGACCCATAACTGCTGGAAAGCAGACCTGACTTCGGATCCAGAACATATATTGCTGGCCTGCTCCGCTCTCCCACGAAACTTGCCGAACGTCTCTTGAGATATTGGACCCTTGCAGATGCACTGCTGGGGTCCTTCGGGAAAAAGACTATTCAATAAGGAATACGTGAGCCCAATTTTTTTTTTTTCTGTACTCCTCTGTTGTCCTCCTCCTCTCTTCTTGTCTTCCTCCTCCTTTTTGGGTGATTTATTTTTTGTTTGGCCCACTTCCCCATTAATGCGTGTCATCTTGGCGCAGGGGCCATGCTAATATTGCCCTTGGGACATTCATTAACATCGGAAGGAGAAGATTAGCATGGCCCCTGCACATGGATGACAAGCTTTAACTGAGAAGTTGGAGGAGTAGAGGCTTTTTTTCTTTTTTCCGGACAATATAGGGGATCCGGACCAGGATCCGGACCAGGGGTCCGGACTGGTTCGGAAATTCCGGAATATTCCAGTTTTCCGGAAGTCTGGATGGGCCCGGGAGGTCCGGGGTCCTGTCCGGCGTAGCTATGATATATATATCGTCACAAACAGAACTCCCCGGTAAACCGTAGGCAGAGAGAGAGAAGAGGACAACAAACGAGGGGCTGTGACATATATATATATATATATCGTCACAAACAGAACTGCCCGGTAAACCGTAGGCAGAGAGAGAGAAGAGGACAACAAACGAGGGGCT